CCGGTACCAAATGACCGGTACCAAATGACCGACGGACAGGTACCGGTTCCCGGCCCGGTGGTTGGGGACCGCTGCTTTAGGTAACCGATTAAGAAAGCTAAACCAACTAGTGCGTAATTCTCTAGTGGGTGATTCTATAGGATATAAAAAAAGCTTTGATCTTGTCCCGGCTTAAACCGTTATTGAATATATTTTATTAGGGTAAAGTTATTTCTTTTTCTTTTAGTCCTTCTGTATCTATCACATGTACACAATCACAGATTTGGTTAAAATCTTTAGGTCGGTCAGGCTGCTTCTGCAGGATGCACATGTGCTCCACTAAACTTATGAAATCAAATCAGTCAACAAGTTATCCAACATGCTGTTTCTGCTAAGGATGTCGACGTACCTCCTGCGTAATCTTATGCGTCGCTTCTTGTTTTTCAGACTGTGTCCCCACGTGCTGAAGTCACGGAGCTCAGTCCCCCACTCAAGACTTGAAGACCCTTTAAACCATTAATCACAAATAAACACAAAATTGAATGAATTTCATTGTTTCTATGATTTTGTCATTATATCTGATTGTGTTGCAATCATTCTTTGATTGGTTATACTTATCAACCTTTAGGGTGCGTGACTTTATGCTTGCTCCTGCGTGCGAGTGAAGACTTAGAACAGGGAGCTGGAGAAAATAAGACCCAGGCTTGAATCCCCAGAAGGGATCTGTGGGTTTGTTACAAATTTGTGTTCAGAAATTTTCCTTAGCCCAACTCCTGCATGTGTTGGGGTGTGTGTGTGTGTGAGAGTTACATAACAGGCTGATTGCAAGTCGTTGCCTGCAGAGTCTCCTTACAAAGGGGGCTCTGATTCAGCACATTTCAGCAATTGATGCATTTACAGCTAATCTGCATTTCATGTATAACACTGTGCATACAGGACAGCCACGGTTGATCCTGATTGCTCTTTACATGAGCTTTTAGCCAAGGCAGCATTTGACCTGGAGTGACATTTTAAATCAATTAAAGTAAGATTAATGATTGCAAATATATCAGACTATTATGCAACACTTAGAGGTTTATATGTTTATGTACAAAGGCAAAACGGTGAAGTCGTAATAGTAAAACTTTTAATTGGAATTCTGGGACCAAAACATTTGCAACTCTGATGCTTTGTTTTTTGGCTTTCCTGCTCTTACCAAACGTTTGCCATGATAGGTCAGTTTTCCTGGGGTATCACTGAAAAACAGTACTTGCCTCCCCCCTCTCCGCCCACGTGCCTATTGTGTAACAGTTGT